CGAGCCGATGCTTGCCTTTGCTGATTGATTGGTTCGTTGCGTTAGTTAGTGATGAAACAGTACGTTCGCCGGCACTTTTTGAAAGGAGAAACACGGTGCCTTCTGGGTCACAAGTGACATTAGAGCTCAAGCTCCAAATAGGTAGTCTAAAATTATATCTAAATTTTAGCGCTACCGCACATTAGAGCTTTAGATCTTATAAAAGTGAGTTAAAGTGTTTTAAAGTTTTTAGAGGTCTAAAGTTTAGAGTAGAAGATCAAACATGCCCTAATTGGTGGTGTGATCTTGAACCCACTGTGAATTCTAATTCTGACGACAAGGTTTGACTTTTACTGATGGTCTGGTTCTGTTGACCTTTACTGGTCACGGTGACTGAGTGGAGAAAGCCATTGATTGGTTGATGGGAAAAGGCAAATATACTTTTGTGCTCTCCGGTCCCTGCCATGTCCATGTGTTTTATTCGATTCTTTGCCCTGTTCACTTGGCTGATAAGTAATTGTTGAAAATACTGTTGACTGATTTGTTATGGAAGAAAAATACCATTTATTAACTTAAAAAAATACGACTTATAAGCCATACAAACAAGCGCGTGTTTCCCTGGAGGATCGATCGACCATCGATCCATCGACGATCAGACATGCCTATAATAATGCGTAACAGAGTACTCCTAACACTCCATCAGGAAGATTCCTGCAAGTGCGCGCGCGCACCTCGTCGGTCAGACGCATTTCTTCTTTCTTGGCGGCAACTGCAAGGCCATGTGGCCTTCATGTGCAGTGCAGGGCTCCTTGGAGGCTTGGACGCTTCTCCGGTTCTCCCCTCCGAGCTCACGTTCACGTCCTCCTGCATTGCCGGCCCGCAAGCGTCCCTTGTTGTGTCACTTGCAGGCGGGACCGGGCCCGACATGTTGACCCTAGCCAAGGCGCGCAGGCAGGGCTCCATGAAGCGACGCTCCTCACACGTCAGATAGGACCAGCCCAACATTAGCTGCGACGCAATGCAAATGGCTTTTTCTACTGCATCTGCATGCGATGCAAGAAGAATAAGGCCCGGCCAGGTTAATTAGCAGTAGGAATGTAGGATTGATTAGTAGTAGGATTGCTAGCACGCAGCAGCAGCAGGTATGTGTACGGTCTTTGATGATCTCTTAGCGCTCGTTTGGCTTATAAGTCGTATTTTTTTAATCAATAAATAATATTTTTCTCTCGTAATAAATTAGTCAACAGTACTTTCAGCCATAGCTTGCAAACGAACACGAACATGGTATGCTACTGAACCCCAGAGGCGACGAGCCAATGGGCGACACGGCACGTTATGGGGTATTCCACGGCCAGGCCATGTGACGTCGCGCTCACTGTACCAGCACCAGTAACAGCATGTTTGTTTCGGTTGGATTGGCTTATAAGCCATAGCTAAAAGTACTACTGACTGGTTTGGTGTGAGAGAAAAACACTGTTGACTGACTAAGTCGAGGCTGCCGAACGTGCTCTTAGTAGGACATGTACAACGGGTCTGTAGAGGTCGTCTGTACAGTGTATTTTGCGAAAAAAAAACCCTGCCGAACCCTATTGAATGAGGGGAGAGAGCATACTCGGCGTTTGGCGAGACGACGAGCTCGGCGCGTGCTCCCAGGTGCAGTAGCCGGCCGAGATCAGCGTTGTACGACACGCTCGTCTCCAGGCGAGGGCGCGGGATCGAGATGCGGCGCGCGCGGTTTTGCCTTTTCCGCGCCAAAATCCGTTCTATCGACGATACCGAAGATGGCGAGCGCGGCTCCGGTAGCTGAGCTCCGGCGCACGGGCGAGCTCCGCCTGGCCGCCACGAGGCGCGCAAGCGAGCTCCGCTCTGGCCGCTGCGAGCCCCACGGGCGACCTCCTCCGCGGGCTACGCGTGGGCGAGGTCCGCCGCGAGCTGCGTTTGGATGAGCTCCGATCCCTCCCCCCAGCCGCCGCGAACCGTCATCTTCTCCTCCATACTTTGCGAAGGGCCCTTCACCATCTTCTCGGTCATCAGAAGCTGCCTCAACTTCCCTATTGGTGACGCCCCTGGCATGCTCGATGAAAGGCTGCAGAGGAGCACATAAAAAATTTGGTGGGGTTATTTTTTTTCCCTTTCTTCTTTCTATGTACAGGAACTCGGTGGGGGACTTGTTTATTTGCTGCTGCAGGCGGATCCAACCAGATTAGTAGATTAAGTTAGGAATTCATTCAATCATTTCATTTGCTGCTGCAGACTACAACAGGATGCATGTAATTTTCAGTTGTTGCTGCTGCTTCAGTCATTTCATTCCTCAAGTCATTTTCAGTTGCATTCATGTGCTTGGTAATTTTCAGTTGTAGTCGATTGCTTCGTATTTTTCTGAAAACTAAAACCTGTCAATTTGTTCTTGCTATAAACCTGTCAGTTGTTTCTTAATTTAATCATAGATAAAATCTGTCATATGTGCATGCTATAACCTGTCATATGTTCTTGAATTTGCTTCTTGTGAACTGCTAAAAAATGAACTGTTGATGTATTTTCTGATGTATGGACTTGTTGAAATATGGACCTTCGATGCTCAGGGCATTTTGCCACACACGCACAATATAATTTTCTGCCCATAGGAGTCACAGCTACACAGTTGCCTGTTGCAGCATATTATATTTGATTTGTGTTTGATCCGTTTTATATCGACTAGCAACATAACGATATATTGAGATAGTATTCACGATTGATCATGACCTTATGCAAGCATTAAACGACTCACAGACAACCATATAGACAACTCATTGTATGTAGCCTTAATAGATTCATCTCGTTAATTAGTTTCCATCTATGTAATTAATTTTTTAATTAGCTATATTTAATACTCCTAATTAATATCAAACATTCGATATGACAGAGACTAAACTTTGTCCCTGTAACCCAACAGGCAACACCCCCTTAGATACCGTTACAAAACATCCAACCAAACACTGTGTAAATGAAAGACTAGCAATGATGATAAGTTTCAATCGATGTGACAGACAAACATCAAAATAACTACATATGTTTCTCAAATCTCAAATATATAAACAGCCAAACATGCAGCAAGGCAACCTTCCTGCTTCGTTTATAATGGTCTATCGTGTCGCCAAGCTCATCTGGCATAGCCATCACTGCCATCACTGCCCAGTCGATTCAAGTCTCCAACTAGCATCATCACTGCATAGTAAACAAAAGAAATTTGCTAAGTCAACAAAAAACAAATTTTCTGTGAAAGAAATGAAGCGTCACATGTCACAGCTGTCATGAAAAACCTTATACTTGAAGAGGTTCTAAATGAATAAGATTAAGCATGGCACTGCTAGCAGTACTACCATCTATGCGTAAGACTTAGATGTAACGGTTCAACGGAAACTCATTCACGCATTAGATGATTCACGTACATGGCTGTACTCCAGTTGTATCCCAACTTATATTATACTCCAGTGGCACTTATTATAGTATTATACACAGGAGTAGCCGAGTAGTAAGCATGTAGAGAATACCAGCAATGTATCATCCACTTCACATGGTTTTCATCAAGAAAATTCGGCAGCACATGCAACTCCATGCTTCCCATAAACCTCCAACACAACATCGGCATTTGCTCCTTTGAACCAACTTCGCTGATGTGCGCATGTAGAAAATTGGTCACCGTTATTTCAAATTTCAATCTCGTGGCTGAAGTTCTACATGGAGCACTTAGGTAAGGATCTTGGCTTCAAGACCCAAAATGAAGTTCTGAAAGGGACTTAGAGCAAACTTCAAAACAGAAAGGATGGGAGAACCATCGACAAGCACTAGGGATTCAGTGTCCTCGGACACGCCAACTTCTTTTCGGTCCTCACCTTGGTTTCACTGAACGGAAGGGGATGAGTGTTAAGCAAAGCTTGACCAGGAAAGAAATGTAGCACAAAGTTGCTCAAGGGCATGTAAAGGCTTGCACTCTTTGAGCATGTGATGCTCCTGACACTCAGTCAAACCAGAGATTTTTTTTGAAACTAGTCAGACCTCAAAGATGGAGGACTTGGTTCACCCGAGGACCCTTGTGAGTTTAGAACGTTCCGTAAAATCATGGTGGTTGTATTCCCCAAGAAATATACTGGCACCTCCACCAGCTCCACAATTAAAGCTGCGGAACATCAAAAACTAAGGCAACAAAAACAAAAAAGTAATTACTAGGGAAGTTACCTATTTACTACCTCTGTTTCTCGACCTGCGGGGGGTTATGACGGCCCCCGGGTTTTCCGTTAAGAAGAAGGATCTTCTCACACAGATCGAGAAAACCCCCGAACCCCCGCCCCCATCCTGACGCAGGAGGTGCCGTCACCCTGTGAGAACCGGGCCGGGGCCTTCCACTGCGCTTTGGCACATGGGGACGGGCAAGGGGGGGTTTTTAACCTCAGCCTGAAATTTTACTACATATAATTTAACCACGTATGAATTGTATATTATGAAAGTATTTATCATGGTCAATCTAAAAACATGATTCTTATGATGTTAAACTAAACCAATTTCTATCTAGAACTTAAAAATAGTTGACTCAGGACAAAACTAAAATTGCAACCTTTTTTAAACAGAGGTAGTATATATATACCAATGGCCCTCAAGGGTTACAACGATTCACAAACCTATGTAGCAAGAATAGGTGCCTTTTGGCCAGGGTTGGGCATTTTTTTTAGCTTGAAACACAATCCAAACTATCGGGTTTTCAGTTTTTCGGTGTCATGTCGGTTTTAGGTTTCATCAAATTCGGGTGTCAGCTTTGGTTTTCATACCCCACAGAACTGAAACACTGTTTCACCGATGCAACCCTCCAACCAGCCACATGCCTGCAAGGTCCATCACCTCGGAACAAAAGCAACAGCAGCCCACCAATCCACCAGCCATCTACCCCCCACCCTAGCCCCTACTTGCTGGCTTACATCCACTCCAAATCCTAACCCTATCGTCTCTCCCACTCGACTGCAGCGCAGCGCTTCGCAGGACGAGATGCGATGGCTAACAGCAGCGCTGCGCATCGAGAGGCGGAAGCGGAGACGCATCGAGCAAGGCAGGGGAAGTGGCGCCGCGTCAAGCAAGGCAGAGTCGGAAAATCCGCGTCGAGCAAGGAGGCGAGGGAGGCGGCGGTGCGAGGTCACGTGGACCGTGGATCTGCGGCAGGGCATGGAAGCGGCAGAGGCAGCGGGGGTGGCGCGGGGCTGCATGGATTTGCGGCGCCGGCGCATCGCAGTCCCGGCACAACTGCACACAAGGATGTGAAGGTGGCTTGAGGACGCGTCGACACTGGAGATGGCGCATGGAGCGGATTGAGTTCGGTTTATTTCGGTAAAAACAAAAAAAAACAAAGAAAAAAAACTATACCGATTTAGTCGGTTTGTGGAAGAAGAAAAAACGGTCAGCTTCTGACTTATGAAAACTTTTTTTAAACCGAGAAAACTGAACGGAACTTTCGGTTAAAACATATTGCTTTTGGCCATGTGGGCACAAAAACGGAAGCCTCACAAATAATGAAGCCCAAATGTATTGGAGGACACACAACAGCACAACTGTTCAAAAAAAAACTAGCAAAATGAAAGTATATTTTGAAAAGATAAGCAAATATCAAATGTTTCCCCCAAAGGGGCCTACCCGAAAGCAAGTAGAACCCCCAACTCTTCCAGGATGCCTTCAGAGATCCTTAGGAAACCTTCCAAAGCCAAGAACAATCACCGTAAGTCCTCTGAAAGTCTCCTTTTGGACCTCAAGGCAAGCTATCAACGAATCCGAAAGCACAAAGTGCCATCAGTTTTCCTATAGCCTCCTTCCAGACTATACCAAGGCATTCCAGATCACTGGAGAACTCTTTTTGCATGTGCACTATAAGAAATTAAGAATAGAAATAGTAGAAAAAGTAGGTTCCATACAGACTTGCAATGCATGTGCACTATAAGAATAGCAATAGTAGAAAAAGCAGGTTCCATACAGACTTGCAAGGGGAATTTTTGTACCGATCCAAAGAGATTGGGTATGGTGGAATGGCCTTACTAGAGGACTAGAGAAAATTGGTGTGTGGATTCCTATATGCCACTAGATTATACAGTTACTCGGTTCTCCCCAACTCCAGAGAGCCTTTATTGGTTTCTGGAGTCCCATTCAACTTGTTTTTAAACAAAATTTTTTAAACAGCATTTTTGAGAATTTGGAGGGCAAACCGTTCTAGAAGGCCACAAGGTCACCTTTAAATTTATGTTTGAAACATATACTGCTTGAACAAGCCGCAGGAATAGAATTGTCATCAAGAGTATATAACAATCTAAAACAGGAATGTTTCAATAAGAGGGAATATAGTTCACAACATGACTGTAGAAGAGATGGGAGTATATCGAAACTCTCACCAATGTTTTACCTTATGAGGTTAAACCACAACTAGTCAGCTGATGCGGTGGCAAAAGTGGCTGTTCACAGGATGCACTGGCAGGCAGCTCCTTGGAAGAGGGAGGCTGCTGCAATTGCTGTTGATAGGTGCCATAGTCTGAGTGTGTGTCATAAGGGAATGTGTTACAGGCAGGGAGTTGCTCTGAATACCCAAGGTAGCTGGTTCCAGCCCATTTGTTGAAGCATGGCTAGGCAGCCTGGAAGCATAGGCAACAGCTTTACTATAAGATGACGGGAAAATGGAAACATCGGCAAATATTACGAGAGTATAGCATTGCATAGCAAACAACAAACTCAGATTTTCAATTTATTCGAATGGTATAACTGCTTTTAGACTTCAATTTTAAAAACGGCTCCCGTGTAAAAAACATACGATGCTAGGACATTGCAGAAAACATCATGTTTGATCCATTGACCCTTACAGCACATATGACAATATTACTAGTAAAAATATGCATCTTGAAGAAGTAAACAATTGGGTGTTTGGTTGGAGTGAGTTGGTGAATCATCCAATCGTAATTCCGAACCTAACAAAATAGATTGGTTTGAGGACACGAATGGAATGGTTTTATCCAATTTACATAACTTGATATATCCAACCAATCACCCTTTAAAAAGAGGAGATGGTCTGTTCCAAAACTACGAGTACACATAAGAGATGGGGGCATATAATAAGCATAACCAATGTTTATACCTTACGAGGACGAAACTCGCCGAGCGGCTTATTGGATGGTGATGGCTGCTGCCACAATGGCTGCGAATTTTCATAGCCCGGTAAAAGCGGGGCAGGGGGCAACTGTTCATACACAGGGTTGAGGGGCTGATCCAGCTTGTTGACGCATTGCTGTGTCTGAAACATCATATTTTAGTTAAAATCTTGCCATATGATGATGAGAAAATGACATGGGGAACAGGGCAAATGGAATACAGCATACCAGATTGGTTTGAACAGGTTGGACTTCTGAAACATGATCGTTCTGAACAATACTGTGCGGTTCATTTCGAGCACGCTTGTTTTTCCCAGCCATGAGCAGAATACTGAAAAACAGCAAGTCATATATTAACCAAAATACCTCCAATATCAGGTAAAACTAAAACTAAAACTAATAATAATAATAGATGATAAGCAAATATAGGTATCAGAATACAATGAATGGACCTAAACAGGATCATTGGTGCAGACATGCCTAAACAGAACAGAGATCCCATAAAATAGAAGAAACTTGCCTTTGGAGCTCCTTCATTTTAGGGTTGCTTTCAACATGTGGCAATGGCCTGGCAAACAGTATCACATTAAATTTAATTAGCAAATATATAGCTATGAAAACATACAATGAATGAACTAAACAGGATCATTGCTTGGTGCACACAGGCTTTATAAAAGAATAGAGTTCCCCTGACTAAGAAACTTGCCTGCGTGATGGAAGTGGTGGCCTGAGAGCATGAAACTACACACAGAGAGGAGAGAGTTGGAAACAATTCATTGAAATAAATATGGAATTATGCAAAATACTTACCAATGCCTCCACGCTAACATTGGCAGAGCTCCCCTGTACCATCTTGCGACATGCCGAGACTTCAGTGCCTACAGAAACCGCAAAATTCATAAGTAATAATGCCACAGTCACATTCAGGGAGCTGCAAAGATGCAGCAAACACACGAACAAAGATGGTGGCATTGTCAGGTGGCTGGTTGTCAACTGGGACCAAACACAAAAATAAGATGAAGGAAAGGATTGGAAGCAGCATGTTGGCACCTTCAGATTCGAGCAGGTAACAATTACCTGGAGTCATGTTCAGATACCGGGACAATGTACAGGGACGGAAAGCTTGGTTGGAAGCGTCATGTTCCTTGAAAGAACATGCTACAGCTGCTTTCACAGTCCTGTTTCCGAGGTCAACAGCCACCACCCATCCACTCTGATCACCAGGTTCCGCCACGGACATGAGGTAAAGAATATTGTCACCATCAGTGCTCAGGTTGGGGAAAGCCAAGTACAGGTCACTGAGTGTCAACTCCCCGCAAGCATTGCCCCTTAGCCTTGACACCAATGCTGAATGCTTTGTTTCGTCGAGCAAGATGTCATCACCACTAAGAGTGCATTCCTTGCGCCAAAAGTTTGAGCAAACCGTCCGACTCCAGGTCACGGCCCTCCAACAATCCCTTGACTTGGGCTTCTTCTCATCCACGCCATTGCGCTTGAGCGACGTGATTAAGTCTGAATCGTACAGAACATCCTTGTCAGTGGGGTCGTTAGGCTCTTCAGTCATGTGACGCTCCATCTCGAAAAACTTGAGCACCCCACTGAAACATGCCAGATCCCGGAACGACCTTGCAGCAGCTCCTGGGATTGGGAGGGATGCTTCTACTTTGTCCCTGTTTCCAGGCAATGGCTCGGGCAATGGTATGAAACGAACAACAGGGGGATCTTGACGCAAGTCACATGCCACCAAGCCGCATGAGAAATCAACCCAACCTAGTGAACCTTCTCCAAGCGCGATCACCTTATCAGGTATAATCTTCCGTACTCCGGGGCATGGATTGAGCAGAGTCCTAGTGCTCCATGCTTTGGTCTCGGACGAGTAGATTCGAAGGTGATAGTCTGCGGGGGCATCAGGGTCGTCACATAGAGCGGCCAGGAGGTAATGATTCCTGTGGTCACGGGGCACGACGCCGAACTCCGAGACCCTGCCCAGAGCGATGCCCTCAATGTCGTCGTCGGGAAGCGGAACCCATTGAAGCGACGGCGACTCGCCGGAGCCGGCCTTGTACATGAAGTACTCATCCATATCGTAGTAGGAGTGGAACCGGGCGCGCAGAAGAACAAAGCGGCCGTCCGCGCCAACCACGTGAGGCAGAACAGCCAAGTCCCCGGGCCTAAGGTCGGCGGGCGGCCTGTAGCACTCAACGGAGATGCAGGAGATACCCGGTGGCTCCGCCATCCAGAAGGAGACGGATACCAAATAGTCAGCCTTCGAATCGGCAGTGGCCGTGGTCTCGTTTCTTCTACTGTCGATGCCTTTGGTGATGTAGGCCCGCTGCCGGTCGAGGAGAATCGAGCCTAGCCGGCGGGAGGCGTTGGCGGCGGCGCCGGGGGGATTGACGGAATCGATCGACCCGTACGCCGTGTGGGATCCGGAGGCGTTGGCGGCGGCGCCGGGGGTATTGACGGAATCGATCGGCCCGGACGCCATGTGGGATCCGGAGGCGTTGGCGGCGGCGCCGGGGGCATTGACGGAATCGATCGACCCGGACGCCATGTGGGATCCGGAGGCGTTGGCGGCGGCGGCGCCGGGGGTATTGACGGAATCGATCGGCCCGGACGCCATGTAGGTGGGGTGGGATCGGCTGGGGATTCGGTGCGTCCTCTGGGAGATTGGGAGAGAGTCGGCGAATTTGGGGATTAGGGTTCCTCTGGGCGATTTTTTTTCTGGGGGACGAACGTGAGGTTTCCACGGGACAGCGTGGAGGGTATGCGATGGAGAAACACTCCTAGTCGGACTCCATACATGGTTTGGAATTTTATTCTAATATATTAAGACAGTTTGCTTTAGACTATCCACGTCACCCTAAATAGTCTCAGCCGTCCGATCTCCTCATCCATGGCTACGGTTGTTCCCTCTGGATTCTTCTTCTTCTGCGCCGCTTCTCTAGCTTCTCCTCTGACCTTGCTCCGGAACGGCTCCTCTTCAGAATCAGTGTAGGCCAAATATATACTCCAACCAGCTTCAGCTTCTACCTCTTTCTCGATCCTTCTCCTTCCCAGCTCGAAAAAAAGAGTTGTCCTCATCCTCCGTCTCCTCCCTCACCGGCCTCCCCTTCCTCTCTCTCCGTGCCTCGAGTGGCGCCACCAGGCGGCGGCGGCGGCACCAGCCCCCGCCCTCGCGTCGCGGCGTGCGAGCCGGCCCAGCGCCGCCGGCTCATCGCCGACGTGCGGGCGGGGCACCACGACGCCCAGGGCCGCCGCAGCATCGGCCCTGGCTGCTGCCGTCACCGGCGTGGCTGTACCCCCCGGTGCTGCCTCTTCTCGCCGGCCCGTATCTACTACTGTGCTCCATGAAACCCTAGCACTGCAAGGCAGGGCAGCGTCGCGGCGCCAACAGATCCGCGGCGGCCGGCGCCTTCTGACGCGACACGGTGCTCCCCCGGAGCCACAGCCATAGCGCCCCACACCCGTTACCAGGCCACGTGGGATGCGGTGTGCGCAGTGGCCGTGGCCAGCCGTGTCGTGAAATTTTAACTGAAATATGCAGTTTGTTGTGCCCTGTTGATATAGGTTACCTAACTGAGTTAAATATACCTTTGTAATATTCAAGACAGTACCAATTAACTGAAATTTTACAGTTGGGTGATTTCTTGTTGAAAATACTAACCAAGCTGTCAGTCTTAGGTTGTATGGTGCTCTCGGTAGCTTTGCGTGGCACCGTGGCCGGCTATTTTTCCTACAGTGGACATATATCAGTCTAATGGCTTCCTCCGGCTGATGACAAAAAAAGGTTCAATGTTCTTGATGTATATAAAGGTAGCTTTCAGTGACAACCATTTTCTAGTTTCCTAATTGAAAATGGCTCATATTACTCTATATGTCTTCGTAATATATTTGCATGGTTGTATTGGGAAAGGTATGATAGGTACTCTTTTTTCCAGATTCTAATGTGTCTAATTTGTTTTTGAGGTAATTGTATTGGCATCAGCTCTGTAGATCAATTAAGGGCAAAGAGTCTTATGTACAGGATGGGCAAAAGCCCAAACACAACCGCAATCGGTTTGTACTAAAATTTTTGGGTGCTCTGTTCTATGTATACAGTGATTCATTGCCCCATAATCGTTGTATTGGTTCATTGAGTCATCGTTATTATGGACTCTGTTATATTTAACTTCAACACAGCCCTTCTTGAGCAGTACAATTTGTATAGCCTGTAGTACAATATGCATTTCCGATCTGATAAAAATATATTCTATCTATTACAACAACCTCTTGATGATCTGCATGTACATATGCTTCCCTATAGCCACACTTTTAAAGGGTTTGCGAAAATCATCTCACGTTACCGTGTATCATGGATATGTCCCTGTTCAATTAGATTATTAATCTGGTGACGCTGCCTTCAAGACCTTATACATCGAAATAAATTGTAGTTTTAGACTATCTAAATTGGTGGCCTCTGAACAAAATAGTGGAACTCAAGGTTAAAAGCTCTAGTTTGGTTTTGGTGAATTAATGAAACCCTAAGTGCTAACCTAGTTTATCAAGTGATCATGAGATAGGTAGCACATTCCAAGTGGTGAAGCAAATAAAGATCATAACATGATGATGATGCCATGATGATGATCAAGTGCTTGGACTTGGAAAGAAGAAAGAGAAAAACAAAAAGCTCAAGGCAAAGATATAAACCATATGAGCTATTTTGTTTTGGTGATCAAGACACTTAGAGAGCGTGATCACATTTAGGTTTGATAGTCGTACTATTAAGAGGGGTGAAACTCGTATCGGAATGCGGTTATCAAAGTGCCACTAGATGCACTGACTCATTGCATATGCATTTAGGATTTAGTGGAGTGCTAACACCCTTGAAAATGTTTGTGAAAATATGCTAACACATGTGCACAAGGTGATACACTGGGTGGTTGGCACATTTGAGCAAGGGTGAAGAAGATAGAGTCGAAGAGGAGTTAGTCGCGCTGGTTACAGAGTGACCGGACGCGTCCGGTATGTGACCGGACACGTCCGGTATTTTGGCGACAGACTCTGCGACCGGACACGTCCGGTCGCTGAATCAGAAAAAGCAGTTTACGACAGGACAGTCGATCGGACGCCGGCAGCATCCGGTCCGGTATCACCGGACGCGTCCGGTCGAGCAAGGATGCTTACTGTACTCCACCGGACGCAGCGGCTCAGCGTCCGGTATGAGCGTCTGGTCGTCGGCAGATTAAGTAGCAACGGCTATGATGGTTTGGACTGGACACGTGGCAGTCTGGGGGCTACCGGACACGTCCGGTATGCCGACCGGACGCGTCCGGTATTCACGACCGGAGCGTCCGGTGCTGCGTCCGGTCAGTTGGACCGGAGCGTCCGGTCAACCTGTGTTATGCCCAGTGAAGGGGTATAACGGCTCTATTTCGTGGGGGCTTCTATTTAAGCCCCATGGCCGGCTGTAGCTCACAACTCTTGGCCATTTGCATTGACATAGCAACCTTGTGAGCTTAGCCAAAGCCCTCCCACTCATCTCCATCATTGATTCATCATCTTTGTGAGATTGGGAGAGAATCCAAGTGCATTGCTTGAGTGATTGCATCTAGAGGCACTTGGTGTTTGTGTTTCGCTGCAGGATTCGCTTGTTACTCTTGGTGGTTGCCGCCACCTAGACGGCTTAGAGCAGCGAGGATCATTGAGCGTAGGTTGGTGATTGTCTCCGGCTTCGATCGTGGTAATTGTGAGGGGTTCTTGACCTTTTCCCGGTGGAGCGCCAAAAGGTACTCTAGTGGATTGCTCGTGGCTTGTGTGATCCTCATCTTATGTTGGTTGTGCGGCACCCTATTGAGGGTTTGGTGTGTGAAGCCAATTAGCGCGTGAACCTCCAAGTGAGTGAATCGCCACAACGAGGACTAGCTTGCCGGCAAGCAAGTGAACCTCGGTAAAAATCATTGCATTCATCATTGATTCCGAGGTGAATGGTCTTCATTGTTATTCATCCTTATGATTGATTGGTTTCTTCATCTACACGGCGGTATAACCTTCTTGATCACTCTCTTTACTTTACCACAAAATAGTTGACAAGCTCTTTAGTGTAGTGAGTTGTGAGAGCTTGCTTGGTTGGTTGGTGTGGCTCTTTAGTTAGCCTTTGAAAGCACACTAACATAGGATAGTATCATAGCTATTGTGTAAATAGACACTATCTAAACTAGAATTGAGGTAGGTGGCTTACATTTTGAGTAGGCTAGCGCAACACTTGCTTTGCCTCATAATTATCTAACCATTTTGTTAAGTGTTGTTGTAGAAATTTTTATTAGGCTATTCACCCCCTGTCTAACCATTAGGACCTTTCAAGTGGTATCGGAGCCGAGGTCACCGTTATTTGAGGCTTAACAACCTTCGGTATTAAAATGGCTCAAATCAACAACACCAAAAAGGCACCCTAATTTGATGGCTCAAATTATTCTTATTGGAAGTCAAAGATGACCACACATATCAAGTCAATCAATAGAAAGTGTGGAAGGTGGTAGAAACTAAAATTGAGATTGAGGATCCGAAAAATCCCACCACGGCCGAAGAAGTGCTTCTCCAAAATAATGACATTGCTCTAAGTGCCATTCATGATGCAATTGATGTGAGAACATTTGAGCAAATCAAGAATATTGAGATGGCTCATGAAGCTTGAAAGAAATTGAAAGAATCATTTGAGGGCACTCAAGCCATGAAGGGTGCAAAGACATATATTCTCAAAGAGAAGTTTGCAAGCTTCAAGATGAAGGAAGATGAGAGTGTGCCGGACATGTTCCATCGGATGGAAGTGATTGTCAATGATCTCAAAGCACTTGGTAAGAAGATAGAGGACAATGACTTCTCCAATAAGTTCTTGAGATGTTTGCCCACAAGATTTGGCATGTTGGTCACCTTACTAGTGAGGACCGGTTTGAACACAATGACACCAAACCAAATCTTGGGAGATATCATGACCGATGATGCTTATAGAGATAATGATAAGAAGGAAAAAAAGAGGGAGAAGAAAGATGAGAAGAAGGATGACAAGAAGAAGAGTGTGGCATTCAAGGCCACATCATCCAAGGGTAAAGCTAAACAAGAAACATCAAGTGAAGAGGATGATTCATGGGATGATGATGATGATGAGAAGATGGCTCTCTTTGTCAAAAGATTTGGCAAGTTCATGGTGAAGAAGGGCTATCGTGCAAGAAGAAAGAAATCTTCATCCAAGAACAAAGAAGAGTCAAGAAGGTGCTTCAAGTGTGGAAGCAAAGATCATCTTGTTGCTCAATGTCCATACAATAGCGACAATGATGATGACAACAAGAAGAACAAGAAGAAGGACAAGAAGGAAAAGAAAGAGAAGAATGATAAGATTGCCTTCAAAAAGAAGAAGGGTGGTTCATATGTAGTCACTTGGGATAGTGATGCTTCATCAAGTGATGATGATGATAGTGATGACAACAAGATCACCAAGAAGAAGGTTCTTGTAAGCATTGCTATAAATGAGAAGCCTTCACTCTTCGAATCTTCATCATGCTTCATGGCTAAGGCCACTAAGTTACAATCTTATGATGATGAAAGTGATGAAGAATATGATGATGATAATGAACATGAAAATGAAAA